TTAATAGATTTTGAGAGACAGATGGTGCCTGGGTAAAGGTTCAACACACAAAAAATTAGACATATTTATCCTTGCCTTGCACCTTGTTGTGAGAATAATCTACAGCGCTGTCTAACGAAGTAACCTGTTCTATTCCTCTCTGGTTATAGTTTCTCTCTAGGTCAGCTAATTGCTTTCCACTTCACATGTTAATTCATAGCAGACTATCGATATTCACCAGGTAATACCAGAATCTGAGGCCTGCTTGAGCTAAGAATTCATGCTTTGCAGAATATATAGGCCTTGCTAGTTGTGCAATCCTCCAGGATACAGTTAGAAATGACGGACAGTCACCCTATTATGGACACAGGGTTAATGAGTTATAGAATAATTAAGGTTGGAAGGGACCTCAAAAGACCTCTGGTCCAACAGCATGATCAAAGCAAGATCAGCACATAAATTTTATCCAGTTTTTAAGTTATGTTAGGGCTTTATCCGGTCATTTTGAATGCATCCAAGGACAGAGACCTCAAAACACCTCTAGGTCTCTCTTCTAGTGCTTAAGCATCCTCATTGTGATTTTTTTTCACCATGGTATATCAGGATTTCCCTTGCTTCTTTCAGTTTGATAATGGAGACTGCTCTTCTCTGTCTGGCCCTGAAGGTGAACTAGAGAGCTAGAATATGATCCTTGGGACAACAGTATGAGTATGAGTAAAAGTATAAGTGAGGTGTGAACCTAGAGATCAACAAAGAGTGATTATAGTGCTAGTGATGGACTGCTGCCTTCTGCTGTCTTCCACTGATGCTCTCCTGCAAAAAGCCAAAGCTGACAACAGTCTTCACTGGCCTGATAACAGTTGAGCCTCTTTCAGTATTGGACCTATAATGAATATTTTTCCTGGATTTCCTATCATGCAAACAAGTATAAGCCTACTCTACCTATGCCTAAAGACTATAACTTTCACTGAGCCTTTTTTCAGTTTCAGGTCTGGCTGGGACGTGGAGAGATAGCGATGCTTTTATCCAACATTCATTTCTCAAGATCATTGTCAGAAAAATCAGAGGTACCATGTGAGATGAATCCCACATCAGATACCTTTTTAAAAGACAAGCTTTAATTAAACACATGCCATCAAGCTCAGTTACTGGACTGAACTCATCAGCTTGTACTACAGAGGCTGAAGAGACCCTGAGGTGCTTTCCATGGATCTACACTCTCATCCAAACTCACAGAAGGATGAGATACCATGAAAGCCTATCCCTGATTATACGTTATTATCTTGTTAAAAGAAAACTGACCTAGGTAGAATAAGTATCATCAACTCAAAAAAAAAAAGCTATAAGGATTATTTTCTTCTTTTCAGCAGAGTTTCAAGCCATTGCATCTATCCTTGTTCCAAAAGACTCGATTCCAAACTTTTTTTTTTAAATCTACTATTACATCAAATTGAATTCAGTCTTGAGATCTGTGAGCTGACAGAAAAAAAATTCAGGAGCATCTTGATTTTTGCAGTGATTAAAAAATAAGTTCACAACCTACAGTCATTCTTTTTAAGTGGCATTTAACGTAAATGCATATGTATTTTTCATTATGCTGTTTTTCACGACATCTTAAATTCTCAGAAACCTCTCATCTTCAATTTTCTTGAAAGTCCAGAGATGCTCTTTCCCACTCAGATTAAATGAGATTTTTGCCCTCTAGTGTCAGTAGATTTTCTTTGTCCAAAACCACAAATTTCTTTCATAAAGTCTCTAGACAAATTAACAAGTCAAGTGCCAATGGCCTCTCATGCCCATCCATGGCAGACACAGATTGTTCAAAGCTGCTTCAAAATTTCTCAGAAGCAATAAAACATAAAAAATTAAATCTGTCAACTTTGTATCTAAACTGCTTCTTCTCATGTTCACTGGAATAGTTTGTATATAATGTGTTGGCTTGGAAAGACATTCATATTTGAAATCTGAAGGATTGTATCTCCAGCAGAGAGGACCCAAGGATACCCGCTCCCCAAAGACCTGGCTCATTGACTTAATTCTCATTGCAGCCAACAAACTCAGTCCAATATCAACGAGAAATATTACAGGAAGGAAGGAAAGGGAGATGTTTGTATTCCCAGGTCAAATGCCTGCTCCAAAGCATAAGGAAATAAATTTGTCCCATTTGAAATTCTTTGCACAGGCTGTGATTTAATACTTTCACTTTCTCCCTTCAGTGATCCCACTGCTGAGCTGTCAGACTAAATTGCTGCAAAGTCGGGACCAAGAGCATTTATGGTGGTAACTTGAATTACCAAGGTGCCATCTTCAGTTAGTGCTGGAGGCACCGCCTTGTCCAGTGGAACACCAGCTCTATTCAAGCAGCACGGCCATGTAATTTTGATCTGGGGTACACGAGCTTATAGGAAGAGAAACACTGCAAGTCGTAAGGACATGTTTGTTTAAATCAAGGGAGGCTACAAGATGTTACAGAGAAAAAACTCTCTTTCATTTGCCAAACTTTGCAGATAGAACACTGACAAAAAGATAGAAACTCTGATAACTGTTCTGTAATCCATATTGTTTTAGCTCTGCTACAGACAGTTATTGCAAGTTTCTAGTGGCAGCTGTATCTAATGGGAAATGGCAGAGGTGCAGTTGAGATCACAGTACTATTAAAGCTTTAAATTAATGGATTTTCTAGCCTTTTTGCTTGTGTTATCATTCAGAGCAGGCCTGGCACTGTGTGTGATGAATAACCTTTTAAAGACTATTACATGCATTTAAAGAACCCAACTCTGACATAACTGGAAAATCTGAAGTATTTAAAACCTTCTGAGATAGCAAGTTATCAGCCCACCTATCACAGAGTTAGGAGTATCAGACTCACACAAGAGATTGTAATGCAACAAGGCTTCAGGGATATTTATAAAGATTTCAGGCTACTGAAAGCCTATTACTTGGAGGCTGTTTTCCTCTTTTAGAGCAAAATCTGCTGTGGATCTCACTAAGAGTGCTGGTACCTCATGTGGACTGAGTGGCATTACCTTCATCACCATGATGTCAGGAGAATGCAAATGACGTTTTGGTACTTGTGTACTTCTAACGTGATGCTGTTCACATGCACTAAGAAATACATGGCAGAGGGGTTGGAACTAGATGATCTTTAAGGTCCCTTTCAACCCAAAACATTCTACAGTTCCCTGATTCAATGGTTCAATGATTCAATGACTCGATGATTCTATGATTCTTCTTTGCAGATAATTGAGGAAAACAATGCACTGCAAACCTAACTGAGCAGTAAATCAGCATGGCTCTCACTGCCTCGACGTGGACATTTACCATAAGAAACCACACTTTTGCTACACTAACAACCAAGGCTTCATACACGCCTCAGTTAGCAATGCTGCCTGTACAGGCTCTCACTTCACAAGGAGGAAAATCATAGAATTACTGCAAGAATGGCCTCGGCTGGAAGGGACCTTAGAGATCATTTAATCCAACCTTCCTGTCATGGGCAGGGACGCCTCTCAACTAGATCAGGCAACACATGGGGACCGAACGAGGATTGAACCCGTGACCTTGGTGTTATCAGCACCACGCTCTAACCAGCTGAGCTAACCAGCCCTCATCCAGGCACTACCACAAAAGAGAGCTTTTAGAATAGTATCAGATACTTTTTTTTCTTTTTTTTTTTTTTTTGAGTAATATGATTACAAGCCCAAAAAAGCCTTGAAAATTCACTGAACTTGCTACTTCCAAGCTGTGCAAAGCTGAAGCTAGAACAGAGCAGGAAATGTCACCCTTTGAAAACTTTACAATACTTCAAAAACATTCCCACAGTACATTGAGTCTAAAGTCCTTTCAAAGTTTTGAAATAGACAATGCTGCAATATTTGGGGGATTTAGACTTATATTATACCTCAAAGTAGTAGTTAGGGAGTTGCCATGGTTTAGCTAGTGAAGTGGAAGCTGCACATTAGATGCAACCATATGGCTACAGGGAAGATTTCACTCACAAATTCAGCTGTTTGTAGGTGTCTTATATATGAGCTGTGTCTAGGTGTGCATAATCATCAGTGGAGAGCTAATCCATGCTGCCAGTGAAGGCTAGAATTGTTCAGGTGAGCAAAAGGAAGTGTCAGTTGTAGGCTAAGCTGATGAGAAAAAGATGGTGTTAACTGGCTTGAACCGGTGACATAGAGAGCCATTTGAGATACCCACGTTGTTCCCCTCTTGGCTTCCCAGTTCCCAGCTGGAAGCTCTGTAGATCCTGTATCATGTCTGGTAGACCCATGTGGATGCCTTAAATATGCTATAGCTTCTCAAGCAGCAATAGGTATCTACGCTTAGAGAAATTAATCAAAATCACCTACATCACCCAAGCTGCATGTCTTATCCTTGAACTGACTCCCACAGAAATGCCCACTCCAGCTGTAACAGTGGTGTGATACAGCTGGGAAAATCAGTTATAGAAATAATTTCTGATCTGCTAGTAGATGGTTATCAAGGCATAGAAGTGCTCGAAGTGAATCATCCTGTCTTTCGCCAACCTCGATTATGTCTGAACTCTTTCACGTTACAGGAAATGGGAAGTTGTCTCATGGCTTCAGAGCTTCAGACTGCAGTGGTGAAAGGGCTAATTCTCCCACTATGAGACAGTTGAAAGAATTCCAGAACAGCCAAAAAAGTGAAAGTCTGGTAAGAACATCTAATTGGTCCCAGCCCAAGTGCATAAAATGGAAGTGCACTAGGGCAATACACAGTTCCAACTACAAAATCATGTGGCCTTGGGTTCCAGCCCAATGTTCATTGTGAGGGGGTTATTGCCTGGCAATAATTTAGTAAAGCTTTGTGAACAAAGGATGCCTACAAAGAGGGCTGGGAAATTCAGGTGCGCATTGACAGAAACCTCTGCAAGAGTAACAGACTGATGGGGCTATGACCCCATGTAAAAACATCTCATGTCTCTATAATTAGGTGTTCAAGTAAGTTCCACCTCCCAAGAATTAATTACACTGACAGCAGGAGACACTACTTACCTCTCCATTCAAGAAGCAGTAAAATACTGACACAAAGAAACCCTGGAAAGAACAGATAACAGTCAGTTAGCAGGTAAGTATTTTAACATGCAGAATCATGGACTGAACTTTACGCTGGAATCATCCTGAGCAAAAACATAATCTTGTTGAGACCAACCACTTCTAGACAGAATCCTTTCCCTGTAACTTCCTGAGAAAATGCTAAGTGTCTTGTGGCTCACAGGTGAGCCGTGAGAGCTAGAATCTAGACAGCCCTTCCACGGATAGAGGGAATTGCCACTTCAGCTTGGCTAAAGCATATCTACAGCTCCCAGCTGCCTCCCCTAAATGGCAGAGATCCCTCACAGGTGCTATGTCCTGCCTGCCAGATCCGTGTGGATGTCTCAGACACTTACAAGGGGGTGTCAAACAGCCTGAGAAGGTCTTGTGTGGGCAAATGTATCATCAGGTTGCTTACATCCATCTGAGCTGAATGCTCTGTAGGCTCCGTTGACAGCAGTGACCAGACCCCTGTAACGACTGCGAAGATGATAATGACTATAATGGGAGCTCAGATGACAACATGATGACACTTTCATCCCTAGCCTGTGAGCGGAATCCTACTTCTTTTTTCTTTCAGCAATGGACTGTGATTATTGTCACCATAAAGGAGAGATTCCCTGTGCTTTCTTTCTTACCTATGTATTTGTAGCACTAACAACAAAATAAGCAGTGTAACATTTTTTGAGACTTTGAGCATCATCAGATAAAAAATATAATTAATTTTAGGGAATGAAACGTGGATTAGTTCACTAGTAAATGCTAATCTTCCTTTGTTCACAGATTAAAAGGGACTTTTTAAATTTTGGCTATTCAGTTGTGATTTCTGGTGGGATGCTCCGTGTTACAAAGCTAAACATGCAATCAGTAAAAATTGTCATCCAAAGCTCAAAACTTTTGTGAGCCATAACCCTGGATTTGGCTTGACAGCCTGTGTGCTGTATATTTGTATTGATATCCTGGATATTGGGGTACTTGCATTCTGCAGATGCCAACCATAGTTTTAGCCTAGTTCAAGAAGGTCTTTAAACAGAAGTAAAGCTGTAGGACACTAGGACATACCAAAGCAGAAATATGTGGCTAAACAATCAAGGTCTACAATCACTTTTGGTTTTGTGCCAAATCCAGAAAGCTGGGATAGCTCCTCACATTGCATTGCCTTTTACATCCTGGCAGAATGTCCGGGGGAGGAGGTCGAGTGTGAGTTCTCAGTCGGTTGGGTCTGATGGCTGAGTGCATGCACCATTGCAGAACTGGAGTGAGAGGCTGGGTGATATTCCCAATGTCTTAATCAAGTGAGCACAACAGGTCAGAGTTGTTTCCCTTGGTTTTAGCAACATCTAGTCTAAATCTCACCTCACTGTGTGCTCTGTGAAGAGAAAGGTACCGTGGGAGGCTGATTCATCATCCTCTCTCAGGCTGTTTAGCATAGAATGAAGCACCATCTCTCTCTCTGTTGCCTTTAGATGGAGCCCAGGTGAGAAGCTTAGTTACCAACTGAACATAATGCTGATGTTAAGAGAGACGAATCCTTCCAGTACACACCTGAGAGGTGATCTCTACTCTATAGGACATGCTTATATATCTATTATGTAAGCACAAACAAAGCTGAATTATTTTCAGCTAGTATTTTCATCATTGACTTCATTGCCCTAAGTTTCACGGCTGAAAAGCACCTTTCAGCAAGTAGCTGATACCAGCTGTGAACTTGTTCTCTTACCTGAAAAGACTGCAGGAAGGAATTAAAATAGATGAAAACGATCTGGGAAATGTCATCTTCGCCAGGGTTGACAAAGAAAAGCATATAGGTGATGCCTAGCAGAGGCAGAAGAACTAATGTTGCCTTGACTGCCTTCCTGTGGGCAGGAAACAGAAAACATCAGTGAGAACAAGAAAGAACAACCATGTTAGCTGAACCACTGTAGATTAACCCAATCCAAATAAATCATCCCGTTAGTGGCAAGAGGGGATGAATCTCGGAGCAGGATTCAGAGGGGAGTGAAGCACCTACATCAGCTAAAGAGGGAGCTTAGGTGCCTCCTTACAACAGTTCAGCCCCTGCACACGTCAAACAGGGTGAGAAGAAAATTAAAGGATGGCCCAAGACATGTTTGATCAGGGCTGTCCGACATGGACAGTCACCAGAGGAAAGAAGCACTTTAAGAGAAAAATTCACATGTCAAGTTCTGTCCAGTGTCTGACATGAGTGAATGGAGTTGGACAACACAAGTACTCCCTGTGCCTCCATCTCTGGAGGCACACAGCTAGAGCATTTGCCGAGGATAGCGGTGGAAGCCTATATTTGCACTACAGCCAAATAATTCGAGTTTTTTCGCCAGGAGGACATCCAAGTTTTAGACACTTCTCCACCTCCCTGCACAGGAACAGCTGCTCCGTGACCAGCCCCCAACCTGGAGGCTCCTAGAATCCTCAGACAGTGAAGAACAAAAGTTTCTTAGGGCTCAAGAGAGAATATTTAAGAGTGAGCCCACGGGATCCCAAGCCTGAAAGGCTGGACAGAGCCATAGGTGAGTTTGCTAGTTAACACTTTCTGACCAGTGCCTGACTACTGGAAGAAATGTGTTCTGGGAAAGCATTTGCCTTGGAATCCTGCTGTTCGTCCCCACACCCTGAACTCCAGGGGACAAATGGAAACCTTTTTAGTATCTCTCCCTTTCTCTCTCTTCTTCCTCCAGATGGTTTCTGTCCTATCAATGAGGTTTGCATTAGGCTGAAGAGAAGACTGAAGCCTTGAGATTCTCTGCAGCCGCACTGAGCGATTTCTTACACCTCAGAGTGATGTGGTAAGTGCACACTTTAGCTGCTGACCAGGGCAGGAATG